TCATTTCCAGGCCGTTCAACCGAAACCCTGCCTTCTTCCGCCGGCGTCTCCAGCGTCCACAGCATCCCCGTAGCCCAGCAGCCGCCCGTGGTCCCGCATTCCCCGCCGACCGCACCGCCGGCCGCACCACAGGCAGCACCGCAACCCGCCCCCCAAGCCGCCCCTCCCCCATCGTTCATCGGAAGGTATCGTAGTTTTTGACGTGTCTTTTACGTATTTTCGAGTGCCATTGCCCTAACTTAACATTCCGATACCTCGACAGATTCCGCGGCCGTTTCCCGGGTCTCCGATTGACGGAGCTGCCGGATAGTGAGGGCCCACCCGGCGCTTCCGGTCTCTTCCTCTCCCCACCCTTCATCCCTCAACCCCTCCCAACCACTCGACGTCGCCCTCCGCTCCTCGTCCGCTTCCGCCCGGACGTCTTCAGTGGATCCACGACCCCACTAACCAAAAGACCATCTACGACAGTTGCCGCGCTAACGTAATTTTTTACTTTTTAACTGTTGGTTTTTGGCTAATCTGGCTTGGGATTAGGATTGAGCTTGGGCTTAGGCTTAGGCTTAGGCTTAGACTAAGCTTAGGGTTAGGCTTAAGCTTAGGCTTTAGCTAAAAATTAGGCTTAGGTTTAGGTTTAGGCGTAGGCCTAAGCTTAGGTTAGGCTCCGGCTTAGGCATGACTTAGCTTAGGCTGGGGTTAGACTAGGCTTAGGTTAGGCTTTGCTTAGGCTTGGGCATGAGCTTAAGCTTGGCTAAGACTTAGACTTAGCCTTAGGTTTAGCCGAGGCTTAGGCTTGCTTTGCCTTGGCCTTGAACTCGTCGAAAATGATAAATACAATATTATTCAGAACTCGCCCGCCGCCGCCAACCGCGCCACCGTCACCGCCGCAGATCAGTGAGTTCAAGCAGAGTTCCTTTAGGAAGGGGCAGGCTAGCAAAGATCCTTCAGGAATCAGCTACCAAATCCATTTTCCAGCCCCCGAGGCGCCCCGATTCGACATCGCCCGCCCGCCGCAACCGCGCCGCCCCGCTTTCCCGCGCCGGCCACAGGTTTTCCAACATTTTTGAGCCCAATTTTGTTATTTTATTTCTCTGCACGTTGGCTTTCCACTAACTGGGCGGCAAATTGGGGGATGGGAGGGGCAGACTGGCGGGGATTCTTGGGGAAATTCCGGCCGTAGGCCTCTTTGAAGCGTGATTTTCGAAATCAGGCTCTGGAAACCGTATCCTGATGCTAATTTGGACACTTTAAGGCCTCCAAAATACGCAACAATAGTCATTTTCCGGTCACTGAAAAGTTACTTGTCTAAACCGCGCCCCAGCTACCGTAACCGCAAGCCGAACAGCAAGAAAAATGACGCTTACCGGCCCCTTTAAACGCCATTTTTAGATAGCGCCCTTCCCTACCGTATCCACTGGCCGAACAGCAAAAAAATGACGCTTCCTGGCCCCTTTAAACGCCCTTTTCTAAACGGCGCCCCTAGCTACCGTATCAGCTGGTCGAACAGCAAGAAAATTACGATTCCCCGTCCCTTTAAAACGGCATTTTCTAAATCGCGCTCCTGCTAGCGTACCATCTGGTCGAACAGCAAGAAAATGGCGCTTCCCGGCCCCTTTAAACGTCATTTTCTAAACGACGCCCCAAGCTACCGTATCCCCCTTGTGGCCAGTCTGCCCCCTCCAACCCCCCCCCCCGCCCCATCCTCGGTTACCCCAATTTTTAGTTGTCGATCATCGTCGGCACCACCCACCCACCATCACCATCACCGGATACCGTAACCCGTGGCCGCGGCGGGCGCACCATCATCGGTTTTCGCGTAACACGCCCCATTTTCGGCAGCCACACCACTAACAACGGGGTTACTGTAGCGCCTACAGTACCCCAGTTCGCGCCGGGACCTTCAAATGCCATCAGGGCTGAACGTCTTGAAGCCGTGGGTGCAGAAAATTTCGCCACAGTACCTTTTACCGGGCCCCATTCGCGGCGGGACCCTCAAACGCCATCAGGGCTGAACGTCTTGAAGATGTGGGTGCGGAAAAAGGACCCACAGTGCCGCCCAGCGTACCCCAATTCGTTGCGGGACCACACGCCATCGCCGCGGGACTGCTCAACCCGCCGAGGGCCGTCTTTCTGCCCGGTACCGTACCCTCGACTACGAGAGGCTCCGCGGATTCCACTGGTCTCTGACACCACCGCAGCACTAATGGACACCCCAGAACCGGCCGTTACCGTACCCGTGCCAGAAGAAGCCGTTGAAGTGTTCAACACCAGGGTACCCTTCTTCTGAGGAGTACCGCACCGACAACGCCGACGCCACCAAGCAGTTCAGAATCTGTTAGTACGACAATCATAACACCAAGCAGTACAGTGACGACATCGCAATGTTTTCGAGCACTACGGCAACTACAACGACGTCTCCGAGCAGTCCGCCAACAACGACGTCGACCTCGAGCAGCACCGTATCGGATCGTACGGCCGCCTCAATGGCGCCAACGTCTTCGAGTAGTGCAATGTCGGGTAGTACGGGAACCACAACGCCGACGACGACTCCAAGCGGTTCAATATCTACCACCACATCCTCAAGGAGCACGGTACTGCTACAGTGCCCCTCACCGTCCCCTTCCGCTTCGCCGGCAATTCAATCCTGAGCGCCGAGGAGACGGCCGACGACTTCGAGGAGGGAGGAACGGCTCTTGGCTATGACTACAATTACACCTATTGACGATGGCGGACTTAGTACTGTAGCGGAATCGGAGGCTACGGTATTTCCTCCAAAAACCGAAACCACGACGCTACAAACTACAGAGAATTCCTCGCTGAGCCCAACTGATGGATCTACCGTACCCACCGCCACGGGGACTACGGTAGAACCCGAGAAAAAGTACGGTATCGGAGCCGAGCACTACGAGCACACCTAATGACCCCACCCCAACCACTACTGTATCACTAACCGAAGCCACGCCGACTACCGTATCCCAGGAGTCGACTACGGTACCTGGAGATGACGGAGATGTTCAACAAGCCGACGAAGATGATGACCCAAATGACTTGGTTATTTTTTGGTTCTCACTCAAATTTGGGAAAAGCAAAAAGCAAACGCTTCGCCTGGGATCGAACCCACGACTTCTAGACGTTCAAAAAACTTGTAGAAGACGTCGAAAAAAAAAAGCAAACTTTGACGCCGGAAGGGATCGAACTCACCAATTCTAGATGTTGAAAAACTTGTAGAAAACGTCAAAAAGCAAAAAAGCAAAGCACTTACCTTGACAGGGATCGAACCAACGAGTTCTAGACGTTCAAAAACTGGTGGAAAGCGCCGAAAAGCAAAACGCAAACTTTGACCTCGACGGGGATCGAACCCACGACTTCTAGACGTTCAAAATCCAGTTAAAAAATAAAAAAGCAAAAAGCAAAACTTTGACCTCGGCGGGGAACGAACCGACGAGTTCTAGATGTTTAAAAAACCCGCTTTTTTCGGTTCTCACGGAATTTCAGTTGCTTGGTGGTGGGTGTATTCAATTACGCGACATAATTCGTTAGAAATCCAATCCTCAGTTCGCACCGGGATACAATATGGTGACTTAGTTTGGGGGAAGGTATAACTACCGTAACCAGAGGAACTGTAGAGGGGAGTTTAATCGATTACGCCACGGAAACGCGGGGGTTAATTATGGGTTTAGAATCGGCGAAGGCCGTTCTTCAATAGAATACCGGCCGGACAGGTGAAGATGGATGTCCCGACGACGGGTGAGTGAGAGAGAGACAGCCAGAGAGAGAGAGAGAGAGAGAGAGAGAGAGAGAGAGAGAAACGATGCCTTTCCAGAAGCCCCGTCCCCAACCCAGGGCCTCATCGTCCCGCAACGCCCTCAGGATGACGCGGAGTTTGTAGCCCCGCGGAGGACAAGACCTCCTATGCCCGCCAGACCCTTCGCAACACAGGTATCAAAGCATCTCTGCCAGCCTACCCTTTCCTTAAAGAGAAAGGGGCGGCATAAGTCAATCGATTACGCGCGGGAAAGAAAATGTCTCTGCGCCTCTCCCCAGGGCGCGCTCTCTGCCCTGTTGGCTATTTGCCAATTTGTTGATGGGGGGGGGGGGGATCGACACATGCCGTCGGCATCCCTTTAAGAATCTCTGCTAGCCTGCCCTTTCCTAAAGAATCTCTGCTAGCCTGCCCTTTCAGCCGCGCTTCACCCGCCCTCCTCCCCATTTCCCCGAGGCTCCCGACTACCGGGATTACGGTACCGACGACGAGGCCGACGTCTTCAAGCAGTTCCACGACACAACCTCAGGTAGGTGACACCTTTAAAGGAATCGAGAAGGGAGTACGGTGGGGTACGGTATTCGCTTTAGTCGACTACTACTGCGATGCGGCCATCGGCGCCCTCCTCGGTCTTGACGTTCCCGCAGACGTCGCCGACGACCACGACTCGATTGACTAGGTGGGAGAGAGAGAACGAGAGAGAGAGAGAGAGAGAGAGAGAGAGAGAGAGGAGAGCTAGCCAGCGAATTTCACCTTCTAGCCAAACCGCCCCATCGACCGTCTTGACGACGACGCGGCCTCTTCTGCCAACAATCACCACAAGCCGCTTCGTCCCTCCATCGACGACCCGTCAGCTGCCGCCGATGACTACTACGGTAGGCCGGCTAACAGAGATTCTTTAGGAAAAGGGCAGGCTAGCGGAGATTCTTTAGGAAAGGGCAGGCTAGCAGAGATTCTTTAGGAAAGGGCAGGCTAGCAGAGATTCTTTGAGGAAAGGGCAGGCTAGCAGAGATTCTTTAGGAAAGGGCAGGCTAGCAGAGATTCTTTGAGGAAAGGGCAGGCTAGCAGAGATTCTTTGAGGAAACGCAGGCTAGCAGAGATTCTTTAGGAAAGGGCAGGCTAGCAGAGATTCTTTAGGAAAGGGCAGGCTAGCAGAGATTCTTTAGGAAAGGGCAGGCTAGCAGAGATTCTTTAGGAAAGGGCAGGCTAGCAGAGATTCTTTAGGAAAGGGCAGGCTAGCAGAGATTCTTTAGGAAAGGGCAGGCTAGCAGAGATTCTTTGAGGAAAGGGCAGGCTAGCAGAGATTCTTTAGGAAAGGGCAGGCTAGCAGAGATTCTTTAGGAAAGGGCAGGCTAGCAGAGATTCTTTAGGGAAAGGGCAGGCTAGCAGAGATTCTTTAGGAAAGGGCAGGCTAGCAGAGATTCTTTAGGAAAGGGCAGGCTAGCAGAGATTCTTTAGGAAAGGGCAGGCTAGCAGAGATTCTTTAGGAAAGGGCAGGCTAGCAGAGATTCTTTAGGAAAGGGCAGGCTAGCAGAGATTCTTTGAGGAAAGGGCAGGCTGGCAGAGATTCTTTAGGGGAAGGGTTCAGAGATTCTTGAGGACTTTTCCACGAGCGTTAGCTAGCAGTGTTCATTTGCGGAATTCCAAACGTTTCAGCTAACCCGTGGCCCATCGCCACCAGCAGCCCCTCCATCGACACTTCGTCCTCCTCCTCCTCCTCCTCCTCCTCCTCCACCTCCTGCTCCTCTTCCACCTCAGACCCAGCTGGCCCTCAATTCCGTGAATGGTATGTGCTAAATGCTGCCCCACTACCGTACCCCTCCCCTTCAGAGCCCGAGCCGCCAGCTCCTCGCCCAGCCTCCCCGCCCTCGTTCCCGGCCATACCCGGATCGCCAGCCGCCCAGCCGCCAGGTGCGGATTGTAGTTTGTAGGCTTCGGTATTTTAAAGGGACCGTGAAGGCTAGAATTTCATGTCGTAACCGGATAGCCGTTAATATAGCTGTAATCAGGGGCGTAGCCAGAAAAAAAATTTCGGGGGGGGGGGCCCAAAACAATTTTTTCAAAAAACTCAAAACATTGCCAAAAAAACAGCGCCGCAGGCAAAAATTTTGAAAAAAAGGTTGCCTAGCTCTACAAATAGCCGTAAAAACGTGAAAAATAGCGCCGCAGGCAGCAAAATTTTTGAGAAAATCAAAATCATAAGGGTCCCCCTTATGAAATTTTCGGGCCCCGGCCGATTTCGGGGCCGGGCCCCCGGGGCCTGTATTACGCTACGTCCCTGGCTGTAATGACCTTTTCTTTGTTGCCAGACGCTTTTGAATAGCGGTTTCACTTTTGGACTCGAGAGCCAGTCTATCGGAACCGATTACGCTACGTAATGCACGTTAGTAATTACACCGCGTAATCGATTTTCAAGGGGATAACTGATTACGAACCCTAAATCAGGTCAAGTCCAACTTTTCATATCGTATTCGGCTAGATATCCCGCAATCAATTACGCCGTGTAAAGGAAATCACGATTTAAATTACCTGACCTAACCGCATTTCAATGGCGTAATCAATTGCTGGCCCCTGTCACCGTCCCTTTAAAGCCGAATTAACGGGCGTAATCGATTCCAGTTCACAATCAGTTACGCGTGGTAATCAGATGCAAATTACGCGCCTGGTAGCTATGTCCATTTACCTGGCGTAATCGAATGCTGCGCCCTGTCACCACCCCTTTAAAATTGACGATTTTCCAGACGACACCGTGGTGAACGCGCTGAACGTGGCGGAAGACTTCATGGCCGTCGCCAGGCGGTTCAACCTCCGACGGACGGCCCGCCGGAAACGGATGGCGCTATGGCAGCGCGAGAGCGCTGGCGTTTAATTGGAGGATTTTTTCGATGTTATTGGTGTTTTTAATGGCTTGATTCGTACAAAATTGCTCAGTTTCTTTTTCTGCTTCTCTCATTCAATGTCTCTCTCTGTCTCTCTCGCTCTCTCTCTCTATCTCGCTCTGCCTCTGCCTCTCCCCCTCTCTCTCTCTCTCTCTCTCTCTCTCTCTCTCTCTTAATCTCTCGCCCCTGATCCTCCCCACACCCCAGGAACGCTAATTGACCCCTATTTCAAAATATTTTCTTGCCCATTTCTGCCTTACGGGTATTGCTACATGTATATATCACATGCCTACTGTATTTTGTGTGTTTTTCTCGGTGCTTTTCGAAGAATAGATTGCTTTTTTGTGTCCGGGTTTTCAGAGACAATTCGGAAACCAGGGCAAGCTAGCCGAGATTCTTTAGGAAGCGGCAGGCTTGCGGAGATTCTTTGCGATAGTTTATCGATCCATCACCCATATTTACAGACATTTTTTAAATTATCAAGTAGCTGAAATGGAGCACTTCTAGCAGAGATCATTTGCGGGTCACGAAAAATGCACAAAATCAACAAAATGGTGTTTAAGGGATTAAGAGAGAGAGAGAGAGAGAGAGAGAGAGAGAGAGAGAGCAAGAGAGAGAGAGAGAGTGAGAGAGAAGGCGAGGGAGAGAAACATGACATTCCTACAATTCGATCATTTTCGACGGCACCTCCTGCCGCGGTACGGTAACGGTCTTCGTCTTGGCGCTGCGCGGCGGGATATCGTGCACGTATTTCGTCTCGCCGTCGCCCTTCTTGAACTCGAAGTGCGCCCGTTGGGCATTGATCTGGAAATCGGGAGGCTAGCAGAGATTTTTTAGGAAGGGGCAGGCTAGCAGAGATTT